GGCATCCAAGTGCTACGCCGCCTGCTCGATCACGGAGAGCAATGGACCACAACAAGAACAGTCTGGGGGGGCAGGGAGAAATGCAGAAACAGGCAAACCACCTTGAGGAACTCCACAGCTTGGACGCGAACCCTAAAGTGTTCCCACCCCTGGGCTCTCCCCCTTTCGGGGCCCCCAGAATGCCACGCTTGCCAGACCGCGGTGAGCATTGGACCACATATAGGCAAACAGCGGGGAACAGAAACAGACACACCGCCTGATACATCCCCACCATCTGCTCTGAAAGCAAATAATGTTGAACATGCAAGCAGGCCAACCGCCTGGCGCGAACGGTCCTGTGCAATATCCCCCTGGCGGCTCCCCCTTGGGAGTGCTGAAATCAACTTCTCGCCTGAGACATCCTTGCAACCTGCTCGGGAAGCAGAGGATGCTGAACACGCAAACAGGCCACCCGCCTGAGACATCCCCACAATCTGGGAGAGAACGGGCCAATGCAATACCCCTCTGGCGGCCCCCCCTCGGAGTGATGAAACCGGCGCCTCGCCTAAAACATCCTCACAGTCCTTGTGCGTGGATGATCCTGGGAATGCGTGAGCCTGAATGAGGAGGTACTGTCGCTGAGTCTGGCTGAAGGAAGCAGGGGGTCTGAGTATGAATGAGCCCGAAGGAGGGAGTGATGTGACTGAGTATGAGTATGAGTATGGGTTGGTCTGAACCTGAGTGGCTCTGAGTGTGAGTCGGTCTGAATATGAGCGAACCTGAATGCGATGAGTGGGGCTGAAGAGGAAGCAGCGGAGAAAGGAAATAAGATGAGGGCGAGGGTGCTCGGAGCAGTCGGAGAAATTACCCGACGTGATACGTGCATCTCATACTCTGGTCACGCATCGCTGAGGAACTCTGTCTGTGATCGCCTTGGTGTGAGAGCGAGTCAACGTAGACGACGGGCGCCGCAACGACGACGACAAGGACGACTTCAGTGACGTCACCCTGCTGCGGGCATCGTTCAAGAGAGATGAGGGAAGCACAAGTGGAAAAGACAGGGAGCATTGGAGTACAAGAAAGGAAACGACTGTGAGTGAATTTGAATGTGAGTGATCTCAGTGCGAGTGAGCCTGAGTGTGTGTGAGCATAGGTATGATTGAACTTGAATGTGACTGGGGCTAGGTATGAGAGGGTCAGAGTGCGAGTGGGTCTGAAAACACATATGTCTGTGTACCAGTGTGAGTGTGATTATGGCTGAGTGTGCGTGGGTCTGACTATGAAGTTGATGTGTACGAGTTTGAATACGAGTGTGCCTGAGTACGGGCACGTCGCAGTATGAACGAATCTGAAGGTGGGTCTGAGTATGATGAATGAAGCTGATTATGAGTGAGTCTGAGTGTGATGAGTGAGGCTGAGGAGAGAGAGGATGAGGAAGAAGGTGAGGTTAGGGTGAGGGTTTGCGGAGCCAGCTAAATAATGACACCAACCACATCTTAGGAGATGGGACATAACAATAAACCCATCTTAGGATGCCCTAGATGGCCCCAATACGGCCCACGAGGCCCTCTGGACAGCCCAACACAGACCTAAAAGGAGCCCCATCGGAGGAATACGAATCCCACCAGCCCTTTAGGGCGTAGGTGATTCAGGGTGGTTGCTCTTCCACCCCCTTCTTCCCCTTCGTAGAGGGGTTTATCACTGTTCCCTATCAATATACACCCCCTCCCCCAGGCGACTGCGGGCCAACCAGGGTCCATGCCGACCCCCCCCCCCAACGTCCCTTGTAAAAACCAATACAAAACACACTCTGCCTCCAAATTAGGAACATGCGCAGCCAACCCGATGCGCCCCCCCCATCCCTATCAAAAAACAATACAGAGTGCACTTGGCGGCGGCGGCGGCGGCTGCGGCGGCTGCGGCGGCGGTGGCGGCGGCTGCGGCGGCTGCGGCTTCGTCGGCGGCGGCAGCGGCGGCGGCGGCGGCGGCGGCGGCGGTGGCGGTGGCGGCAGCGGCTGCGGCGGCGGCGGCGGTTTGGCAGCGGGGGGCGGCGGCGGCGGCGGCGGCGGCGGCGGCGGCGGCGGCGGCGGCGGCGGCGGCGGCGGCGGCGGCGGATTGGCCCCCAGTAGCCGCCCATCCAAAGACGAATGCTGAATATGCTGAGGCTCGGGCCAGGCTCGGGTGCTACGTATGTGTTGGGAGGGCGGGTGGGAGTGAGCGAGACGGCTTGCGGGCGGGGAGGGGGGCTCTTGACCCCTCCCCGACCCCCTCCCCTAGACCTGGAGGGGGCGTTTCGCAGGTCGTCGGAGCGTCAAAAACGGCCTCGGCGAGGAAGCCAAAATCATTGGTTTTACTGAGGTTTTGGCCCCATGTTGGCCTCTTGGGGGGGCAGCGCTAATTGAGGGACCCCCTTCTTTGATCGATCTCCTCCGAAATGGCCCCAATAGTGCTCCCAAGGGTACCCCAAGAGGGCCCCAAGAGGTTGCCAGGAGGCTCCAAGAGGCCCCCCAGAGGCACCCAAAACGCTCCAAGAGGCCTCGGCGAGAATGCCAAAATCATTGATTTGACTAAGGTGTTGGCCACATTTTGGCCTCCTGGGGGGGGAGGCACTGTTTAAGGGGATTCCAGGAGCGCCTGGGAGAGCCCAAGATGACCTCCAGGATCGCTCAAGATACCCCAAGATGCCTCAAGATGGCTCCCACGATGCTCCAAGAGGCCCCAAGACCGCTCCAAGACGGCTCCAACTGGCCAAAGAGCTCCCCCAGGAGGCCCCGAAGAGGCCAACACCCTTCCAAACCACTAGGAAAAGTAATGTTTTTGGCTTTCTCGCCTTTTCGCTTCCGATGGCCATCCGAGGCTTCAAGATGGCTCCAAGATGGCCCAAGAGGGCTCCAAGAGCGCTCCCAAGGCTCCCAAGAGCGCTTCAAGAGGGCCCCAGGAGGCGCCCAGGAGGCCCCAGGAGGCCCCGACAGGCGCCCAAGAGGCCTCCAAGAGGCTCCCAAGAGACCCCCAAGAAGCCCCAAGAAGCTCTCCGCGGCACCCAAGACGCTCTAAGAGGCGTCCGGGACCGCCAAGAGGCCCCCAAGATGCTCCAAAAGGCCTCCACTGGGGGACCGTTCCTCTGTGTGCTTCCCACTTCCCTGATCGAGGCAATTCCTCTCGGCATCGTTTCTGGATCTTTCTCCTCCTCCTCCTCCTCTTCCTGCGGTCGCATTCACAAGCCGCCACCCTCCAAAACGGCAAGGCTCGATACCTCCGATCTGCGACATAGCCCCA